ATCGTGTCTCCTTCCCTTAACGCGGTTTTTCCTTCTCTTCTTCGGATACAATACTACTCGACCATCCTCGGTGGTACACCCGATGATATGTCGTCGTCGTACGTTTCTTATTGTGGTACGCGACAAATGGATAAGTCTGCCGTGGAGAGTCGACCGGTTTTTGTTTCGCATTAACAGAAGCAACAAATAACTCTGGGAGATGGTTGCTCGCGTGGAGAGGTAATACGTTCGCGTTGAGCAACGTTCTCCTTCGTGGAAATTATGGCGAATTGGTTTGTCCGAGACGTGTTTTCACCAAAGGTAATCCTGCTTTTTTCTGGTACAGCACAAGTGTTATTCTCGAAGCGTGACTTTTCATTTGTGTGGAGATGTATTTATCATGATTTGCGTGGTAGAATTTTTTCGAGGTTTTATCTGGTAGTCTGTGTTTAATTAAATTCATAATTAGATGTACCGGAATTTAATCGTTTCACGTACTACTATTATGCAAAGTCTGTTGAGAATCTTGAGAAGAGAGAGACGAGAAGTATTTCACTTTTATTCTATTATATCTTCTCATCGTTTTTTCTACCAAATACAATTTCAGCTTTTAATTCAATTGTACAAGAAATTGTACAAGAATCGTATTAACCTATCTTTCAATTTGATGAAGTTCTTTTTCCCTAGGAACTAACTTCCAAAGTGTCTTCGGAGCTTCTGTATGAAACTTATATTTGACGATATAAAGAAAATTTTAAGGGATGTAACACTATAGAAGTATCGATATATCCGAATCTTTTCGAGATGGAAAACATATTGAAAAACGTTCGTCCCACCTTTCAAATTTTCCTTAAGCCTGAATCGTCGATGTTCGATCGCTGATCGTCTCGGTGAAAATTTCCCCTGAACTGCTTGTAACTGAAACGTTGAGGAAAAATTCGGTAGGTTCAGGTACGAAACACAGGAAACGCATTTCCGGGGTGCTTAATGATGACGAACGAGCATAGTTATTATCATGGGGTAGTTCGTGGGCCAACGACGGGCAAAAAACCATTCGTTCAAATTAAGAAGTTGATTCGGATTTAATGGTGTTTTGTTTGGCCGACGGAAACAGGTGGATGCGTTTCTCCCCCTGGCTTTCCGCGATTCCCTCTTCTCTTTGTGTTATGTTACTTTTTATACTCTCTGCGCCACAATATCGAGTGTGAGCGAAATCGAGCATAATTTCGAAAGTTGGTTTTATTAAGTCATACTATATATAAGACCCTTATGTCGCCACTATAAAATTTCCTTTCGCTTTCGGCACGAACTTATGCGACTAATATTAGGATGTTTCCTTTTAAAAAAATCCTCAATTAACGACGATGGGAAATTTACAAAATTTCGTTTCTTCCTTTCTTTTTTCTTCTTATAGTTTACAGGATAAAGTATTTTAAGGCACAGTTTACAAGGGGGAAAATTGTGGATAGAATCTTTTTAATAATTTGTACGTATTTGAGAAGTGACAGGACAATTTTTCGAGGTGCAGATTTATTGATTTCTCTTTTCACAGTGTTAAGTATTATACTCAAATGAAAATTGCTTTAAAGAATGCCTACGTCTTCATTTGACAAATAGAATTATCTTAAGTATTACACGCACCCTGAACATTTGAAAAATTCTCGTTTCTGATCAGTATTTTACGTTCCCAGAAAAACAAAAAAATTTTACTTAGTATTCGTAATCAAGTATTCTACGGTTAAGTAGGTCATCATACAATTGGAACACGATCAGTAATTATCATTGACCCTTAACCAAAGACCACTCGTCTTGGCCGTCGTCGATGGTCCTACTCAAGAAAGGAAAAAAATACATTTGAATTTCATAAAAGTGATTATAATTCCCTTTCCGCGTTTCTTACCATTGCAAAATTAAAAAAATTCTCATCAAACCATCTTCCTATTGTCAAGAAGCTAAGAAAAGTAGTATACTTCAAAAAGTAGTTAAGAATTAAAAAATTAGTTCCGGGAAAGAACCCAAAAATTACACACTTTGACTTATGCTTTTCTTTGCTAACTATGCATCTAAGCTTCAGCTATTTACCGTAGGAATAAGTATCGTACGTTAATAAAATTTGATAATTCTTAGACTTATAAATTAGAATCTGCGCCAAGAGTTCGACTCGTTGTTGCAAGGTAAAGGGTTAATCAAGTAAAAATTCGCATATTCTCGTATTCGTCATTTACTGTAAATTCATTTTCGAAGCAGCTGATACAGGCGATAAGTCACAGGACCTCTCATCAGAGGCATTACATGCACTCACGAGTATGTTACACGCATGTAAGCAGTTGGACAGGTGTGCGTGAACCCGGTCTGTGCAACGTTAGCTAAATTCTCGTTACCCTAGCGGCCGTGTTGGCCACGCGTAATCCACTTTAATCCTTGCAAAAAGACGAGTCGAGGCTCAAGTGGATCAAGCTAGCATTGCTCGGACGCGCAGTAGTATATCCGTAGCAGTGCCGTTAGTCGGCGACTCGATGTACGGACTAACGTGGATTTAACATTGTCCTCGAAAGCGCGTGTTTTCGATGTGATCGCGTGTCCTCTCTGTTTTATTGAATTTGTTCAATCGATACACCCCCCTTTTTTTAATACACAAATTTGCAATAATCGATGAAATAGGAAAGGATTGTATTTGATTTCTTAGAATTAAAAAAAAAAGAGGTATTTCTTGTCTCGTTTTGTAATTGATCGTATACTGATTGTTACGTTTGAGAAGAATTTATTATTAATTATATTTTCAAATGGAAAAACAAGTTTGATGTCTTCCAAAGGCGAGTTTGCAAATTTTTTAAATATTTAATTGAAGTGAATTAATGCAATGGAATTACATCGGGATCATTTTTTATTAATGGACTGTGTATGAATTTTTGTTGTATGAGTTTAGTTTTTGTCTCGTTGAATTTAATGTAAGTATTTGTCAAGTTTTTATAATTTTGTAATGGGAAATCTGTGAGATTTATGTCTTCTCGTAAATTTCGGATAAACGAAGCGGTAAACAGACATGTCTGTAATTAATCTTTTCAACAGTTTGTTTTCATTAAGCATTTCTGCATTCCTTAAATGCAAATCAGTGGAACTGTTGAGATAACTTCTGAGAATATATTTTTATTTCATACATTCGAAGAAGCCTTATTTTTCGTACATTTAATTTTTCCTTATCGCCAAGACAAGATAAACAGAACTGCTGTGCAGTAACTACTTCCAGATTGTCCCTTTAAATGATTGAAAAAAGCTCAATGTACCGCGTTGTTAGAGAAGTATTTTATTTGAAATTTGCAACAATTGGTTTGTTGCTGTTAACAACGTCTAACGTACTGTTGCTAGTTCGTTGTGAAAAATTAATTTCTTCGACTTGACAATCGCAGCACGTGTAACCGGTTCGATCGAAGGCAACGCGATTAACTTGTGTCGAGGGTTTGAGCGAGGTCAAGAACGACTCTTCTCTTGTAGCCTTGCCTCTCGAAGAATAATGATAACTTCCACAGGAAACGATGATAGAAGAGATTAGCCGGAAGAGAGGCGCTTTCGAGATCAAACTGAAATCGTCTGAAGGCTGTCCACAGAGAGTTCCTTGCGTTTCTTTTCCGTCTTCTTCTCCTTCTTTTCGCTTGCTTTTGATTATCAATTTCTTTCGCAATTTAATAGAAAGATAAATTCCACGTAGAGTAAGCTTCTATCGTGAAATATAAAGTAACCTCCAATTATGCTCGCTAATAACCGATAAGATTGTAGGAAAGTTTACGTAGGAGAAAGTTTATCGGTGAATTATCGCGTTTGTAATTTTTTTCCGGAGAATAATTCGGCGTCGATGCATTTATATTTGCAAATAAACGAGAAATTGTATTTGAAATTTGTTGGAAGAGAAAGCACTTTACGTTGATTAACTTCGAATTAACAACGTTTAATTAAAGTGTCGCAAAACAAGCTGAAATAGAAGTAACAAACTGTGTATATTCGTGTGATTAAAAACTCTTTAATTAATGAACGAAGTACAACTAGTAACGTGATAATTAAATTTCCAGTGCAATTCTTTGTCAAAGTTGTGCGAGATTCTGTGATTAAAAATCTTGGTTCGACGAAGTTTTGTAAAATTATTTAAGGTTAATTGTTTGATTAACCTTTTCGCTGCGACAGATTTTGGTACGTAACATACAGATATTCCACCTCAAAATGTTTTCTTTTGGCCAGAAGGTTCATTAAGGTGGAAGTGTGTAGAGAATGAAATTAAGGCTTGAATTAAGATGGAAGTGCGTTAAAAGGCTCCAACAGCACAGTGCAAACAAATTTTCAAAGCGCCTATAGGCTCGATGGCGACGAAGGGTTTAACCCTTTCGCTGCGGCAGATTTTCTTTCGTTTTGGCGTTATGAAATTTTTAAATTAAAATTTTCAAATTTATCGTTTTAAAAAATGAGGTGTTAGCACGCAAGGAACAAAAATCAAGGCTTGAATTAGGGTGAAAGTGTTAACAGCACAGTGCCAAAAAAATTTCAAAACGCCTACAGACTTCAGTGCAATAAAATATTCAAAGCGCCTATAGGCGGCAACAGCAGTGAAAGGGTTAAAACATCATATTCAGCGATATTTCAACGCTGGACAGAGATTCGATCTTATTGTCAGTTACAATTCATCCGTAACTGTGCAAAAATCCAGTCAGATATCTAATCAAGTCAATTTTCTCGAATATCTACGATCGTTTCGAGCACAATGAAACCTTCGCAATTGACAAGCGCAGCTTTCAGCTGCGAGAGGGTTAAACAGAGGTTAATGTAGCGAATAAATGTGCCACTTTTCTGTTCGCCTGGCAGCCGATAAATCATAAAGCAGAGTGCTGCCTAAAGAACAAACTTGTCGACTGATATTTTCAAACGGGAGTGTCAAGAATGTTCCTCTCGTTAATTGTTCAATCGTGGAAATGCCTTAACCGTTCGTTTTTCTCGGTATTTTTTTCTGCTCTACATTATCGCTGTTTCTGTTTCAGTGCTTGGCAGTTGTCGGAGCCAAGAGTGCGGACACGAAAGGCTGGTGAGGTGTGGAAGGCCCCTCGAGAGAATCAACAACAACGACTTGAGCTTCGCTGTGAAAAAGGAGGAACTTCAGCAACTATGCCCGTAAGTTTTTTAGCTAGTTTCTGGATCGTGTGCTAAAACTTGGTTCGCCAAATGAATTCACGTCGACACTGTTTCGTAGAATGAATCTGAACGTTCGATCACTGTTAAAAAAAGATAAAAAACTAAATCATATTTATGATAGATTAATTTTGCTGAACTCTGATTCAGAAAGGGAAATAAAAAGTACAACGCGTTTCTCGATGTGGCTATTGTTTTTTTTGTGCCGATTAACCCTTTGGACTCCTTTGTCGAGTGTGACTTGATATCGGTTTTATTCACAGGTATGAATGAAGTAATTTTTAAATTGCCAGTGTTATATTTTGCAATATTTTTTTTTACCTGGATGAGCATTAGGTACACATATATATGACCCTTAATGCTATTTTCAATATAATTAGTGAAAAAAATTAATTAATTGGTTCCTATCAACCAGATGTCTTTTGAAGTGCATTTCGAATAAAATTCTTAAAATAATAGGGAGTTTTTAAAAGAAAATTTGGAGTTGAAAGGGTTAAAGGGACCGCCGAAAATAATCGAGAATTCATTTGGACGAACTACGTATTTAAATTACCGGTGCAAATTGTTTCAAACGTTTTCACGTGTGGTGTAAATAAAACGTTCGGTACGAATGTATTATTGGTAGAAAGGAACGTGTCGGGAGTGTAGAAATGGAAAAAAGCGAGATCGGGTAATAAGCATATGAATCGAATTGAAAATAGAATTTACGAATAATTTATCGGGACATGCGACAGAGAAGGACGGAAAAGGAAGGAAATTTAACACAGTTTCACTGTCCACCGCGTGTAATAATAATGCTCGTGATTTATACATGCAATTTTATCGAATTTACGTTAGATTGATTTAACATAAATTCATATTAAAGAAACACCCGCCTGAAAGATATAACAAAAATAAACACTGCTAATTTATTTGTCGCAATTTTCCCTTTTCCATGAATTTTTCTCGTATTTAATTTATCGTTGTTGCAAATTTGATAAATATAAAATTATCTCGAGTGGTAAATTAAATTCCAGTTGTTTCAATTGGTAAACAAAAGCACGCGAAATATTCCCATAATTAGATAACTGATAAAATTAGCGATCAATTTTTTCACTAATTCAATTAGCGAAATAAAAATGGATATTAGTAGTGAAATTCATCGGTTTCGATACGTGGGGGAGCAAAAAATCTTAATGTCAGACGTGTGGATTTGGTTTTAATAATATGTTGTGAGTAATTGCGTGAATGTCGTGTGTTTGTTTTGAATTTGTGTGAACGTTCTAAGATAGACATGATCTATGGCTGATACTCGAATCGACTCGAGGTTGGGGAAACGGTCAGTGTCCTCGAGAGAAGCAGCGAGTAAACAGTAGAACCGCGTTGTTAATTAAAACAAACAGAGCGAGAGCGTATAAGAGAGGAAGAATAAGAGAGCATTGATCAGGTTATTAATATTTCCATTTTCTGTGTCGTTATCGTTATTGTGCAATTGTTATTATTAATATATTGGTATTAAACTTTCAACCACGTGTTATTCACCCACAAGACGTTCATTCGCTGGCTGAATATTTCAATCAATTCGCACCTTTTTCGTTTATTCTTTCATCCTCGATAAATCCATCTTCTAATTTTTTCCCCGCCGCGGAAATATTTTGGCAAGAAGTTTCGAGAGTTTTTCGGATCGATCGTTGAATTTTCAACAAGCTGTTTCGAACGGTCTCGCGTTTTTATCCAGTTGTCGTTCGAGTTTCCGATGGGTTTCGATGGAAAAATCGGCTGTCGAGAGTCGATTGCGCCGATAACTAGATCAATCGAGGAAAGTTGAGCGCGGCCTGAATTTTTCAGACGCCTACTTATACGAATTTATTGACCGTGTTCGTTTATTTTCGTAATCGAGCAACTCGAGGAACGAGTTTCGAAGATTGAAAGAGAATTCTAATAAGTTGGTTCGTTAATTTGCTGAAAGTTCGAGAGACGGTCTACCCGAGATTTCTTTCGAGTTTTAAATAGCCTCTTAAGGGTTTCTAGTTAATTTTTGAGAACTTTGATCATCAACCCTTTCGCGATTTTTCGATTAATTTTTCTTTCTAGCTAGAGCACCGTGCTGGATGAATTTTTTGAATTAATTCCAGACTGATATTTCGAATGTAAGATACTTTGTGATAATTCTGAGATATTAATGAAGATCTGCTATTTTATCGGCAAATTTTATTACCGAATTTACTACCTTAGTGTTTTATCTGTTAAATTTTTTACCACGGAAACGTAAAAGTTTTATTTGGTGCATTATATGAAAAAACAAAAGTAACTTTTATTAATGTTATACGATAAGTATAATTAGAAACAATATTTACCAGTGTAGAATTTTTGTAAGCATGTTTAAAAAATTAATTTTATACGAAAGAAAACAAGCTGTTGCATGCATCAACGACCCTAATTTTTCTGGAAAGAAGCGAATGAAATTGATGACACTTCAACACGAGAAATTATTTATCTGAATTTTTAGCAGACGTTCAGTTTAAAAATATTTGACGAACGCGTTAAATACTTTTACATTTCAATAGCACCGCGATGCCCGAAGATATTTTTTTATAAATCAAAATCAGCCGATCGACGTTTAATTTCACTTAATAACACGCCCATACGACTACTTTTTTCAAGTCCCGCAATTTGTCCGAATCGGTTTAATATAAACACTTGTATGATATACCGAAAAAAAAAAAGGAAAAAAAAATAGCGTTCGAAAACACTTTAGGCAATGAATGATTTTTACTTTGCCTGACTTATGTTTCTTGTTGCAGTATAAATTTTCAACAGAAATTTTTACAAAAATAAAAGAGAGTTGAATTGTTTTTAATTGGTTCTTGTAAAAAGAACAATTATTCGATAGGAATTTTGAACTTTTTCCCCCGTCGATCCTGGATTATCAGATTTCGCTGCAGGATTGAATAATGATTTTATTGCACGGTTGATTTGAGAGTATATGAGTTCCTTCCGAGAACGATCAATCGCGTTTGGCGATGGGCATTGGATTCTCTCTATTGCAAGAAAGTTGCAAATTACTTCTCCAATAATGCAGTGTTGAAGTTTGAGTCGGTCTCGATTTTGATCGATTGGCCGCGTGTGAAAGTGGCAAAATTTCTGAAACGATTAAACGAATAAGCTGACGTAGTAAACTCTTTTAGTCGATTGTTTCAAGTGTCGCGAAAGGTGAAGTCGGAATTTTAGAAAATTTCAAACTCGAGAGAAATATGCATAACAATTTATATGCGAAATAAAAACTATTTCTTGTACAATATTTTATTCGTGCCACGTTTGGAATAAGAATTGTGTTTTTCGTCTTTGTTAGCTGTTTTGGGTTTTTCAAAATATTTTTAGTAATTCTGGAGCGGTATACAGGAGATTTTGCGGAGAAAAGAAAGAGAGAAAAGAAATTGGAAGGAAAATTAGATGGCTTCGTGAGATCTAATTTCGCCCATCTGTATTTCTTTTCTACAAATAACCCAAATTATGTCTAAGAATTAAATGGAATTTTTTTTTTTTGGAAAATAAATAGCACAAAGAGCGGTATAATTATTTTCTATAAATTTGATCGAATGAAATTTTTCACGTACGAAAATAACACGTGCACGAAGATTCTCCGACGTTCTGAATTTTTCGCGGAACAAAGGGAAAAGTTGATTTGTGCGGATAAAAATTACACGGTTTCGTTCGTTAGATGGTGCAGTTGCAGGTATGTCCGTTGCATATGCGGAGTAAGTACAAGCACAAAAGGTTAGAGCTCGTTAAACCATTCAGCTTTTTCGCTTCTACTTTTTGCAGTCTTTGACCAAAAAAAGAGGAACGGAGATGTGTGTCTCGGTTACGCGACTTACCCTTTAAAAGAATAGCTAACAAATTAATTGGATACCTTAAGTCTTGGGGGTAGAGTAGTCGTTTCTATGAACTGTAGAGCTTTCTTGAAAATATATTTCAACGCAGTATTCGAACTTTTCTTAGAACATAACATATTTCCTTTTATTCTGAACATATTTATTGATTAAAGAAAAAGTGAGCAGAGAATTCATATTAATTCTTTTTAATAATTTTATATCTTTAACACCAACAATCAGCAAGTTGAATTTCAAAGAAATATCATATGGTGAAAAGTTGTTAGTATTTAATAAAATAAACAATATAATGTAATCCACTCACAGCATCAATTTGTAGATATAAATTACTTTGTTTACCTATTGGACTAATTACGTTTATGCAATTTTTACTTAAATCAATTTATGATATAAAGGTACCTAAGTTTAATTTTTGGAAGGAATTAAATTTTTTAGAATTAATTCCCTTTGCAATTCAACTTTTACAAGTTTAGTTATATACTGGTTTATATACAGTATTGTTTCACACATAACACAAGATGTTTAAACGAAAATTTCCAATAATATAATTATCCTTACTGTAGGTACTATAACTATCATTCTATAGGCATTATAACTGTAGTTACTATAAGTGTTATAACTATAGTTACTATAAATGGTATAATTCATAGTATATATAGCTTGAGAACTATAACAGATAATTTTTGAGTTGGATAACTATAGTATACAAATAACCTGCATTATTTTCATAAAATATTTTTTTCAAATTCTCGCTCTAAAAAAATTCTGCGCAATGAATAATGAGAAAACGATGTGAATATCAACGATAACACTAAAGACAAAAAAATGGAAACGTTCCTTTATTCACCTGTAACTACTCACCAATGCTCGTTCCTAAAGAGAATCAGTAGAGTGTACTATCGAACATGCGACTAGCAATATCGCAGATGACGCGCGAAGGCTGCGAAAACGACATTCGGGTAGGGCAAATGGAGCGGATTTTTGCTCGGATAAATCGGGCGCGATCGCGTTCACGTCGAAAAGAGAGACGTCGCTCGGAGAAATATTGGAGGGAATTTTCGGAAACTGACCAAATCAACCGGCGGAACGATAACGCGGGCACGTGTACATAAAACGGCTGAACGTACGAGCGCGCGTGATTTTCCAAGTAGCGGCGGCGCGCTGCTTTCGGAAAACCATAAATTCCCACCGTTGGGAAATTATACTGTGATTTCTTTCCGCGTGGAACGAGATTAGAGGACGCCGCCCTCGGAGAGGAATCGAGAAATATGGATAACGTGAGATTTCGTGTTATATGTTTATCGACATTTAGCGGAAAATTTGGGAAATAGAGAAAATACGGTGAGAAATAATTTATTCGTTGTGCACGATTCGAATTTGATCGTAAGCGCTTTATTTCGCGTGTGTGTGAAACGCGCAAAGGGGTGAAGTAGATGTGAAGAGATGTCTGGTGGAAATTTTAGAAATAGGTGCACTGGTAATTGAGCCACTTAGAAACCAAAGTGATTAAATTCGTAAAATAAAATTTATTAAATTTGTTTTGTTTGTGTAAAGTTAAGCACAGAGCATGTGCTCTGATACTAAAATTGGAGGAATATCAAAAAGTGGAGTTAATCATTTTGGCTTCTGGCTGGCTTAAATAATTATTCATTATACACGATTCGAATTTGATCGTAAGCTCTTTATCTCGCGCGTGTGTGAAACGCAGAGGGGTAAAGTAAATTTCGACTGAATAATCACTGCAAAATGAGGCTACGAAATATGGATAAATGGATACGTAACTTCCAAGTCACATGGCGTTATTGAGGGTTAACCCTTTGCACTCTCAGGCTCACCGAAAATAAAGAACACAAAGAAATATTCTCTTTTGAATCTTACTAATAATTTCTGCTTTCACATAAATTATTTATTACATATGCGTGTAAGAAGCCGAGAAAAGTCCGAGTTGCTGCAAGATTTACCCGAGAAAAAGTACGAGTGCAAAGGGTTAACTCCTTAACACTCACATTTTTCTTAACTTGATGTGCCAAAAATGATCAATTTTATTTTTTTTTTTAATTACTTCCCAGGCGTATAGAAATAAGTTTCCCATTTATTTTTATATACTTTCATTTTTGCAATAGAATAGAAAAGTGAAAGAACAGTCTAAGGAGTTAAAGGGTTAAAGGGTTAAAGGTTAAGGGTCAAAGTGTTAAATTAGCAAATCTGGCAATCAGTTCAAACACATCTAATTTGCAATCGTCGCGTTCCGTAAAGGATGTTCGATCAGTGAAAGCAAAGAGCAAGGTGAAAACAGAAGATGAAGAGCATGAAGAAAAAAGTAATCGGTCCATTTTCGTTCGCAACCAGGGCGGTCCTTGAATTTCGCGAACGCGTGCCGGTAATTTTGCGGTAGCGTGAGTAAGACGAATTCAGGTGATTTCCCGTGGCTCGAATTGCGATTGAAATTTGAAATTTTAACGCGATAGTCGGTACAGTACACTTGAACCGGCTGTTATCCGTGCAGCTACTCGTAAACTGGTTACGTGGGGATTTAACATGCGAAATAATGCATCGCAATGGATCCGATAACAATGAATAGAAAAGCGTGCTGCAACATCGAAATTAGGCGATCGACTATCGATTACAAATGTATGAGTTCGATAGTCTCGTTGAATATTCAAGATTTTTCATCTTTTATTACTACTGCAAAGCGTTTCTTCCTGTCTTTTGTTCGAAATATGCGTTATTTGTGAATGCTCTTAATGAGAATAAAATGGGCAAGAGAATGAATGGTGTTTTAAAATTTGAACGACATGCAAATACACTTGATACTTTGAATGATCGATTTATTTACATATTTACGCGAGAAAAGCATTAAATAGAAATTACTCGTAAAATTATGAGTTAAAAATGATTAAGTCAAAATAAATTATTACGAGTTAAAA